GATTGTTGGTTGTTAACAATGTATGTTTATAATATCGTATCATACAAACAAATCTATTTCTAAAGAACACTGATTGTTGGTTGTTAACAAATAATAGTTAACATTTTACACAAACAAATCTATTTCTAATGGACACTGACTGTTGGATGTTAACAATATATGTTTATAATATCGTATCATATAAACAAATCTATTTCTAAAGAACACTGATTGTTGGTTGTTAACAATGTATGTTTATAATACCGTATCATACAAACAAATCTATTTCTGATGGACACTGATTGTTGGATATTAACAATATATGTTTATAATATCGTATCATACAAACAAATCTATTTCTAATGGACACTGATTGTTGATTGTTAACAATGTATGTTTATAATATCGTATCATACAAACAAATCTATTTCTAATGGACACTGATTGTTGGATATTAACAATATATGTTTATAATATCGTATCATACAAACAAATCTATTTCTAATGGACACTGATTGTTGGATGTTAACAAATAATAGTTAACATTTTACACAAACAAATCTATTTCAGTGGAAAATGTTACATGCTAACAATTTATATTTATAATAGCGTTTCACAATAACAAATTATTTCTAATGGACTGTGTTGCATACTTAAGAGTGTTTAGTTAATGTTTGCAAAATGATATTACTTTAAAATGATCTGTAAATAGCCTTTCTGATCCCGTTGCTTGAAGTCTTATGAACATTTCGGCCTTTAGATTTGGTTATATATTATTAATCAGTAGTTTTCGAGCAGCTACACGTCGGCAGAGGTCACTTCGATTTAATTTGTAACATTCACACCTATACCTACAGCAAAGCTACTCAAGGGCTATCTGCGCTATCTTTACCTTACATGTCTTATATTAGTGTGGGAAGCTTAGCTAAGTGTTGGGTATTATCAAAAAATACTTAGGCCTAATAATATTTAGTTTTTTGAAAACTCTTGTTAGCGGTAATACATTTAGCGGACAAGAGGGGCCGGTGGGATGGGTTAAAATTTGTGTTAGCGGTAATAGATCTAACAATTTGTAAACAAGAGGGGCTGGGGGAGGGGGCTTAAAACTTGTGTTAGAGATTATAGATATAACAATTAGTAAACAAGAGGGGTTGGTGGGATGGGTTTAACTCCTGTTAGCGGTAATAGATCTTACAGTTAACAGCCAAGAGGGGTTGGTGGGATGGGTTAAACTTCTGTTAGCGGTAATAGATCTTTCAATCATCAGGTAAAAGGGGTCAGTGACGTGGGTTAGGGTTAATGAATCTCCTGCATGTAATGAAGCTCACTTTCTGGATCTTTGCTCCTGATAGCTTGGATAAAAAGACCTGCTTAATTACCGACTTAGGGGGTAGATAGTGGTTCGAGAACATGTGGTGTGTGTACATGTGAATGTAATACATATACATCGCTAGTACAAGGCACTGATGAGCATCATAACTCAAGGAAACGTGTAACACGAATGTGTAATTAATTGTGTGAACAAAATACATGTGTGTATGTCCTACAAAAACAGACTGCCTTGATTAGAAAGACATTAGCAATATGGCAGTACATGGTTTCCCCCTCCTTACTGAAAATACACGATATAAGCCGAACCGTGAGAGTTTATTTTATTGTTGTTATTTTTCTTGAGAATATAATATTTGTATTTTAAATGAAAACATTTCTATTTTGATCAGGGCCATGAGTTAATTCAATCCATAAACATCACGAAAAAAAGAAAATATACTGTTTCTTTGTTTGTTTGGAATTAAGCACAAAGCTACACAATGAGCTATCTGTGCTCTGCCCACCGCGGGTATCTAAACCTGGTTTCTAACGTCGTAAGTCCGCAGACATACCGCTGTGTCACTGGGGGTCGATACTGTTTCTAATAGCATTTATTTTCGGTTTACGTATTAAAACATTGCCTTCACGCTTTGCAAGAGACGTTACTGATGAAAGAGTAAAAATAGTATTATTCTATACATCACGGTTTGAAAGTGTAAAAAAAAAATATTACTTTAGAAGTCACGGATTGAAAGTGTAAACACAGTATTACTCTAGTGGTCACGGATTGAAAGTGTAAAAACGGCATTACTCTAGAAGTCACGGATTGAAAGTGTAAAACGGTATTACTCTAGAAGTCACAGATTGAAAGTGTAAATACAGTATTACTCTAGTGGTCACGGATTGAAAGTATAAAAACGGTATTACTATAGAAGTCACAGATTGAAAGTGTAAATACAGTATTACTCTAGTGGTCACGGATTGAAAGTATAAAAACGGCATTACTCTAGAAGTCACAGATTGAAAGTGTAAATACAGTATTACTCTAGAAGTCACGGATTAAAAGTGTAAAACGGTATTACTCTAGAAGTCACGGATTGAAAGTGTAAATACGGTATTACTCTAGAAGTCACGGATTGAAAGTGTAAATACGGTATTACTCTAGAAGTCACGGATTGAAAGTGTAAAAACGGTATTACTCTAGAAGTCACGGATTGAAAGTGTAAAAACGGTATTACTCTAGAAGTCACGGATTGAAAGTCTAAATACAGTATTACTCTAGTGGTCACGGATTGAAAGTGTAAAAACGGTATTACTCTAGAAGTCACGGATTGAAAGTCTAAATACGGTATTACTCTAGTGGTCACGGATTGAAAGTGTAAATACAGTATTACTCTAGTGGTCACGGATTGAAAGTGTAAAAACGGTATTACTTTAGAAGTCACGAATTGAAAGTGTAAAAACGGTATTACTCTAGAAGTCACGGATTGAAAGTGTAAAAACGTTATTACTCTAGAAGTCACGGATTGAACGTGTAAAAAACGGTATTACACTGGAGGTAACGGATTGAAAGTGTAAAACTCTTATTTTAAATTATGGCATAGCTCAAAGAAATATAAGCAATTTTCATAATATGGAAAAAATTTCAGTCAATGTTACTTGGTAAGTAAATGTTTACACACATTGAACTAGTTTTAAATAGCTTGGAACATTTTTTAAGTGCTACATAACACTAAGCGTTAGAACTAATATAAGAAACATACATTTTGTGAACATTTCTAATAAAGTACATCCTGAGTTACCTAATCTATATCAATATTTACTTCAAATTATTTTCATTTTTCTTCTACTAACTCTGATAAGATCCTTATCGGAAAATGAAGTGTATTTGGTGGAGGCTGGAGATAGAGAGTCGGCTGATAATAATATTAAACAATCACCCTGACTGCTTGCAATCTGGGAAAGTTATACACGAAAGAATGTACACAGTAGAGTGTTTTACGTGCATAGA